CTCCCTTGCCTCCCCCACACCCAGCAGCTGCTTGGCCAGCTTAGTCATGGGGCTGCTCTCTGGGACGTCTCTCCCAGCTCCTCCACCTGTTGCCATTGCCCATCCCAAGGGAGGGGGGACGAGAGTCACTCTCCATGGTTGCAGGAGCTGCAGAGGTTGCACTTGCAGGGTCTCTGGGCCCTGACACCCCCAGGGAATCACAAGGAATCATTTTTGCGCCCAGTGGAAATCCTTGCCAGAGGATCTTGTGAAGGTATAGTCTACAAGAAGGTCAATCAATGGCATTTAACCTGGATGGACAGAGCAGGTGTCCCAAGCTGGTGTATTCTAGAAGCTAGGAATGGCCGACAGAAAGTATCACTTAACAATTGTCTGTCCTGAGTATTCCCACTGGGCTATGAAATTGGCTGCTGTCGTGAGACAGGATCCTGGGCTAGCTGGACAACTGGCATGGCCCCGTCTGGCTGTTCTGATGTTCTGTTTGGTTTCTGTTCTTGTCCCCTCTGGGCAATGGAAAATGGACCCGCATCCTGAAGGTGATAGAAAGTGGTCTGTGAAAGGTTAGTGCAGGCATCTGTCCCTGATGGTCTAGTGGTTATAATTCAGCACTTTTACTGCTGAATCCTGGGTTTGATTCCCAGTCCGGGAAACCAGGCTTGATTTTCACATGACAACTGACTACTCATTCATCTTACCTCCTTGTTACAGCAGCTGTTACCCAAGAAGTTCACTCTTGGCCCCTTTTTCACCTCTCCCTCAGGGCCAAGACAGCTCCTGTCATTTTCACAAGCCCTTCAGAAGGGGCAGAGCTGGGTCACTCAAACTGCCCCTTCTTTCTCCCACGTGGGCAGCCCTGCAGGAAGCTCTGTGGCACACACAGCACTAGCCCAGCGCAGTGTCAGGTTGGCACAAGATCCATTGGTTCAGTTTGGTTGTTGAAGGAGATAACCCAGAACTGGCTCCAGCCCCCACTCAGTAACCTGGGGAAATGACCCACCACCCCCTGGGCTGGGAGAGGCTCAATGCAGATACAAGGGGGGTTTCAGTAAAGCTACATGTGAATAGATCCATCTAGCAACCACTGCCAGCCACATGCACAGGGGGAGGTTTTTGTGCAAGCACAACATGCAGTGGAGACATACTGGGGGGCAGGCGAGCTGAGAGGTGAGCGGGAAGGCAATTACATGCGGTGCCAAAGTAGCTCAGTGGGGACATACTGGGAGAGAAGTGGCAGGCTCAGAACAGCCCCTGTGTCAGTTGCTGAAATAGCTCTGTGGGGTGAGCGTTATACTCAAGATTTGAAGGTTCCCTGGTTTAATCCCAGGCTTTGCCAAAAGTGTTTGTTCTTGATGCTTATCCCTTCTTTGGCTTCTCTGCGAAAAGCCCAGCTTTGCCTCCTGGAAAGGCCTTGTCTGCCCTGCTGCTCCGCCTAGGAGCCAGCAAGTCCTGCCCCTCCTCTGCCAGGGAAGGAAAAAGGAGCTCTTCTTAGAGCAAAAAGCCTGCAGTGTAGACGTTACCCCCGAGATAGATTGCAGCAGAAATCTCCAACTGAGTGAAGACATGGCCTAATGGTGCAATTAGTTAGATGCTGACACTAACAGCCCCACTGCTGGTAACTCAGAGAGGCCCTTGTTGCCCTAGGAAGGGGTATGGCCAAAACACAAGCCCCACTGTGAGCAGGATTTGAACCTACATAGGGAAACCCTATTGGAGTTCAAGTCCAACACCTTAACCACTCAGCCATCACAGCTGCATGTGTTGGGGAGACAGGGAAACTGGTAAATAATCCCAGTGCACAGTCCTAATGTCACCTGCCATAGAATTCACACAGCAAACCATTGCAACAGTTGTGCAGAGGAGTCCCGGCTGTTCTGGTCTTAGGCTGCCTTGGAGGTGAGTTCTGCTTCAAGGTCTTCTCTCCTCCTTCTTGGTCTTCCTTTCCCTTTTCCTTCCTCTTCTCTTCTCCTCTTTTCTTCTTCTTGCTGGTCCCCTTCTTGGACCCCAGTTTATATAGAGAAACTCAATACTGCTTAGTTCTTCCTTAACCAATTATTTTTGTATAATTTTGCTAACCAATCAGAACACACTGTAACAGAATTACCTAACCAATCATACCCCACCGCCTTAGTTGATTTACACCTAGCAAAATCAATTCTACAGCAGACAGAAACAGATCCAAACCAGACTATCACGCAGACAAACAATAGGAAAGTGAGGACAAGAATCATAGAATGCCCATTGCACAACCACAACTATTGGTAAGCAGTCTTTTACCAGACAACATGCTGGTATTAAGTTTTCTCTACTCACCTTGAGATCTGTTTCCTGCCTGGTGACAGAGGGTGCCACTAGGATAAGACACTCCCCCCCCACCTTGTAACACTATTTAAATGTCATATAGCTGGAATATGAGCATGTGACTCTAGGCTTTACAGCTAATTGCTGCTGCTCTTCCATCTGGCTGCAGAAGAAGTCTTCAGTTTAGACCTACTGAACACCTACAGGCCTTCCAATAGGGTTACAGAAAAACCACAGTGCTACATAGGACCTTTCCAGGCCAAAGATAGCACGATCCACAAGCACAGACAAATAGAGGCAAATATAACTGCAAAGGGACTTGAACCCTTAATCTTGTGATCTGAAGTTAGATGCCTTATTCTTTAGGCCACACGCTCTTGTGTTAACTAGGTCTGGACTTCTTGAAATGTGTAAGTAGGGAGTAGTCTCCCTAGTCAATCAGGTTTTATTATTTTCCTTGTTTGGGGGTTTAGAAATCATGTCTGAGCTGGTGAATTATTCTTATTTCATGTAACTAAGGATTGCAGCCCAGGGATTTTTCCTGAATCTATGTTTCTTCATGGCTCTCTACCACCTAGACTATCTCCATACTGCATCTCTCTTCCGCAAAAGCTCATGCAAATGTAGCACAGATTAGCATATTGCCATGCTCATTTGCATAATTAATTGGGGTCCGTTTTTGCACAAGAGGCTTTTGCACAAAAAGGAGCTGTGTAGACTGGGGCTCTCCCTGCTTCCTGCTTTCCCTGGCTCCAGCCTGGCCCTGGATCTCTTTCCTCTCAGTCTCATGGGGCCAGGGGTAAGCAGGGGGCCATTTCAGAGTCTGGTTGGGGGCAGCGACCTGTCCATGCCATGATGGGGGAGGGGAGAGTGTCACACGGCTTCTACTAGAGCTGGTATTTAAATAAAAACAAAAATAAACAAGCAGCTGGGATGGGGCAGTTGGAGGGAGCCAGGAGAGCAGAGGCAGCCTGAGAGCAGAGAGCACATACCCCAGAGCCAGCAGCGTAGAAACCAGCCAGGTACCCCCACTATGTCACAACGTGTCCGTGGGATTTTCCTAGGCTGGTTGTTGCAAAACCCTCCTGCTTTAGATTTCTTGTTCTCAGGTGGTGAGAAGAGATTTTTGTGCCTTCTGCTGGGTGTCTAATGCCCACTGGCACTCGGTCTCTCATCTGGCTGGCTCAGACGAGCTGGGGCCATGAAACCCACAAGCCTGGCTAGAGATGCAGGGGGCTGAGTTTGTGTTTCTTGCTGCTTCCCCTGATGCCCTCAGGTCTGATCCCAGCAGCTGCCAGGCTCTGCCTATTGCCCCCTGGCCTCTGCTAACCCATCCATTGGGTGTGGAGCTATTGCCTTGGGATCTGTCTGGGAGAGGGAGCAGCACAAGTGAGGGGCTGGCCCAAGATTCACTCAATCTGTTTGTTTTTTTGTGTGGATCTGCTCCTCCTTTACCCCTAGAGACACTGAAACAAAAAAAGACCCAGGAGAAGAAGCCAACTATTTTACTTTTGCTGTGACATGAATGGATCTAGCTCAGGGGTCCTTCTGTATGTGAAGCACCTCTGTGCTCCTGGGTTCTTCTGCCCCTCGCCTGCGATGCCATCCACTTGGGGGAGCACTTGCCCTGACACTTGTAGATGGGCCGACATGGATAAACCAGTGGCACTCAGGCACCCTTCAATAGCTCAGCTGGTAGAGCGGTAGACTGTAGTGTGTGCTTAGCAAGTTATCCTTAGGTTGCACTGCAATTGACAAAAAGATTGTGGGTACGAGCTGCCAATCACATTTCTTGGGCTGCACAGGCCTTGAGACCCCTCCCAGACTGATGGGGAATGGCTGCACTTTGGAATTGAAAGGTGTTGTCTGGGACCATAAATTGGAACACTTTTGGAGACACTTTTCTTTTTTCAGAAGAGGCTTTTCTGACATTTGGCCCATCTACACGGGCCCAAAGGTGGGGAAAATCTTCTCTTTGGGAAGAGCCCTTATTCCTAATAAAATGAGGAATACAGGGCTTCCAAAAGAACATGCCCACTGTTTTGGAAACTGATCTCAAAAAGTTGACCCATTCCATGGACACAGCAGAGTTTTTCACAGATACAAAAGGTATCCTGGAAAAGCTCGATATTTGGTATACAGCCAAGAAGGGTAACTGTATTGAGGGTGAAGCCAAAAAGGGCACCATGACTTAGCTAGCTAAACAGCTTACCTTGTAAGCAGGAGATCCTCGGTTCAAATCCCAGGGGTGCCTTGCTGTAGCTTTTGCTCATGTTTTCCTGTGCCCTTCTGGGACACAGAAGAGGCCTCCCCTGGCCACCCATGGAACTTCTGATTGGGGAGGGATGTTGGGAAGAAGGAAACCACAAGCCTGGAGCGGGTGCAGAGGCTGCTGTGACTGGCACTGGCAAGGCAGGGCTCTGACTGCAATTGCTGGGACAGGAGAGCCAGCACCACACGCCCTTGTGATACCCTGGGGCTGTCAGCGCCCAGAGAACCTGCCAGGGATGTGAATGTAGACACATGAAATTGAAAATGAAAGAGGGATTTAAATATGCTGCACTTCATTTGCATATTCACACACCAGTGCTATTTGAAAATACTTTATTTTGAAAATATAGTATTAAATATGAAATAAGCGTATCTCAACAGCATTTTGTATTTCAAAATACTTTATTTTGAAATACAAAACGCTGTTGATACGCTTATTTCATATTTAATACTATATTTTCAAAATAAAGTATTTTCAAATAGCACTGGTGTGTGAATATGCAAGTGAAGTGCAGCATATTTAAATCCCTCTTTCATTTTCAATTTCATGTGTCTACATTCACATCCCTGGCAGGTTCTCTGGGCGCTGACAGCCCCAGGGTATCACAAGGGCGTGTGGTGCTGGCTCTCCTGTCCCAGCAATTGCAGTCAGAGCCCTGCCTTGCCAGTGCCAGTCACAGCAGCCTCTGTACCCTCTCC